CAATCGAGAGTGATATCAGATTCAATTGTTTAAACTTCCCTAATAAGCTAAAATTTACAAAGAATTGTCGTGACTCTTCTAACCGCCGTATAAATTAAACGATTGAATATATTTTATAATTAAATAAAATATAAATTAGATTTGCAGCAAGGACGAAAGAGAGTTTTATAGCTGGCAATTACAATTGCAATGCTCTGATTTTGACACATTTATTACAATATTAAATTTCAATAGGAATTGTCAGTGCATTATAAAAACTTTTAATTAATATTTTTTTAATTAAAAAAAAATATTGCATAATGCACTTATGTTATGAAATATTTGCATTGCACATGTTTGCGGAAATATTAAATAACACAAATCTAATTGAATGAATGAATGAATGAATGAATGAATGAGTGCAAATCGGGGGCAATGCTTACGTCCTCCCCGCAACCCAACGCAGCTTCGAGGCACGACAGCGAGGGGAGAAACTTCAACAATCACAAATTAAACAGTAGCTACTTATCAAAGAACTTCTAAGTTTGTGTTTTGATAAAATTTATTACGCTTTCATTCAGAACAACAAGAGGGCAAAAGCTCTCCATTAACAAATGTTGTAAGGGATCTTATTGAGATGACCTTTCAGTTGTTCGGAAATATTTGGATGAACTCTCTGCATGAATATGCTGAGGATATCTGTCTTCGCGAAAGTACTTTCCAGCACTTCAGAATTCGGCCAGTTTTCGTTTAATACCAGGTAAAGCTAGTTCCATCTTAAGTGCTCTTCTGACTTCAATTGTTATCCTCTACAGCACTTGCAATGCAAGGTTTGCAGCAGGACTTGATTCAGAATCATTTTTAAGTTGGTCTGTTCATCTGTCTGCCTTGTTACCTTGTGTTTCACTGACAGATCATAATTTTTGAGATGTGTTGAAGAAATTTGGTACACTAAAGCCCATTTTGACCAAAGTTCATAGTGCTTCGGGTCGGACCACTCTTTCAACCATTTCCCACATAAAGCCTTATTTAGGATAATCATTAAAGGCGTAACCGTATTAAAGGAAATGGTGAAAGTATACTAGAATGTGTTCACTTGTTTTGTTTTTTTTTTTTAAATATATTCCTATTTGGGCCATCTCAACTGAGTTGGAGACCATATCGTTCTCATTATGTTATTAAAAATTTACTAACCGGTTCAAGAAGGGGATAATATTAATATACCGACATGTTATGACATTTGTAATTAATTTTTTTTAATTTGCCTTAGTAATTATGAAATGGAAACTGTTTAATAATTTGTTAATAACTAAAACGATTAACATGGATAAATAATGAGATGAAAATTGAATGTAATATATTTAAAATCCGATATATTTAACTTTCAGCGTAAACATTGCGTAGGAAATTTGTCAACAAATATAGAAAAACTTGCTTTGTATATATGCAAGGGCAATACAAGAACCTAAACTCACCGTAACAGTTACAAGCTTGCTCCTACAAGACAAAGTAGCAACTAATAGAAAAACGAATTTGTTGGTATATTTTAAAAAAATACCTGATTAGCTGAGGAAAGCCATACGCCTAACAGAGACTCCGACTAAAGAATTTATTAAAGAATTTCTTGCAACTCTTACTGGACTTACTTAACAAATTCGGTCTCTATGAAAATTCAGATTAAAAATCTGGAAACTACTAGAAAATTCTAGTCCACGTGGTAAATCTTCGGAATTGAGAGGAAAAAACAAAAATGTCCGAATTGATCGCCAGCCTATGCTGACTGTTCTCTTACATACCCATTGATTTATGGAAATATATATATGTCATTCATTTATCTAGGTCATTCACATCAATGATCAAGACTGTATACACGTAAAACGTGTTTTAAAGGTGTAGCCTTACATAAGAAAGCGCAATTTCGTTTACGACTTATGCTTAGAGTGTTTTGCTTATGCACAAGTTTCGCGCTTACGTTTACATAAAAATTCCTAAAACGCTATGTAATATGTGATTTTTATATGTGATATATCATAAATAATATATAATATGTAATGCGTAATATGTGATATATAATATCTAATATATAATGCATGACGTGTAATATATAATATGTAGCACGTAGCATGTACCGTATAATATTTAATATGTACGAAGCGATACGTAAAATGTGGAGCAGCCTATGCGTGCAGTGTAAGGACAATGTTACAATATACAATACATTGCACGCATACATATCAGACTTAGACGAAATTTTCATGTTTCGTTAACTACCGGTTACTATACATCGGTGGCAATACACGCATGTATATATATATATATATATGTGTGTTTGGATACCTTAGCAATCAGTTATCCAAATACAAAATGCAAACATAGTTCGATATATTCGGCAAGATCGTGTTTATTTCGTTTAGCATATATGGATACATGTGCTTACGTATATAAGAATAACAAGATAAATAAATATTTTGCAACGCATACGTATAAGGTGTACTATTGAGTAGTCATGTTAAGTTCTATTTATACGTATACTTGAATAGACTTTCGTACAAATGTAAATATATATCTACGTAATGATGATACGATAACTTGGGGCGATTTAATTTATTGTTTTTGTATTATTATTACTAGAGACTAAAAGGAAAGCAAATTTTCTTCAAATGCATACATAATAAATCATAAAGTACAAGTGATGAATACACACATAAGTCTATAAGTGACTGTAAACAATATGTGTTCGGTCATCTGTATGCGTGTGTGTGTGTGTGTGTATGTGGATGTGTGTACGTGTTTACATTTATACACCTGTGTAAATGCTGATGCCGATGAAACGCTTATTCAAAAAAGAGAACACCTCAAGTATTTTGCTTTCAGTGCATTCCTATTTTGTTTTATTTTTTGTCCTTTTAAATATACGATTACACATCTACATAAAATATATATAAATGCATGTCAATTCATTTATGCAAGTTGTACGTCTTTGTAATCAATTTCCTTTAAGTAACTATTATCATATGGTCTTCTTAGATGCATACAGAAATTTATTTAAAATCAAAATAATAACCGTAACGTAAACAAGATGAGTTTAATAACACAGCCAAGGACTATTTGGAAAATTTTAAAATTCATGCAAGTTCGCCGGAAGCCAATTAAAATGAAAGAAATTTCATAAAGATTGCATTGAAACTTCAGTAGACAGCTAGGTTTTCTTTGCTATTGTTCATATATTTTCTAAAATCATGAGGGTCATATTTGACGAGCGAGATAGTGGAAAGATTAATCTATCTTTAGATCCAATCCCAGACGACGCTGGTACAACTCATTGCGCAAGATCACTATTTCCTTTTTCTCGTATTACTATCTAATACTGAAACTCCTTTAATACTTGACACCTTTGTCAGTAACATGCACTAATGCTTCCAATATATGAAAACACACAAAGATCCTGCTTAGCAAGGGAGTAAATTTAGAAAATTTTAAAGTCTGTCAATAACCGTCAGCACTGCGAAAATTAAGTATTAAATAATTCTCAGAATCGGCAAAGGATTAAATTGGAATCTTGAACAAAGTAATAATATATTACTTCTGCTTAACTGACCTTGGTCAATTATTGGCATAAATTAGCCTGACGAGAATGATGCAAAAGAACTAAATTTGAAAATTTCGAATAACTTGTGATTGCATAAACGTGATTTAAAGCGTAGGAGTACTTTTTGTTTTAATTGGCATAAACTCTCCGTAACCTAGCAAGCAATGATATAGTAACACAATTATGAGGGAAAAATATTTAATGATCCACACTGCCGATTGATTGAACGTAGCCATGAAGATGTGTTGAGTGCAGTCCATACATGCCAAGTATAAAGAGTCTTTCGGAATGAAACAAATTTTAGGCTTCGCCCTGGCAGTACTCAAAGCCATTAAATCATGTTATCGCAGACGAATGGTAAGAAAACTGCTTCAAATGTCAGGCCTTTTTGTGTGAAACTGCTTATCTTGAGCTTGGCAAGCCTTCACTTTCCACACAATTCTGCTACGGAAATACCAAATCCAGTTTATTCCAACTAATTGATTTTCCCAGAGGAAATGAATTTCCGAGAGAGGGAAAATGTACCAAGTACAAATGCGAAAAGAAGCAATGATTTTTGAGAGCTGCCAGTTATGCTGTGTGTTTGCAAAGGACTTGCAAACAAATTTTCTGTAAGCTTTAAAACTTGTTCCTTTGTATGCATAAACCGCAATTTTTAAAAAAATCTTTTCATTTCTTTTAAAATGGATTCAGAAAAGTGATACAATATTTAGTGAACAAAAGCTGAAGAAGTAACAAATAAATAAAGAAACATACCTCGCTCCTGTTCTGCAATCAATCTGATGGAAAGTGTGTCCTTGCAGTATGCGTATTTCTATGATTGATCATAACACCTTAACCATGGCCATAGCACAAAGGTACAAAAATTCGTCATAGGGAGTACATCAACATGAAAATTTCCAGTTAAACTCCTTAAGGATTTTCATGGATTCTCTAACACATAACAATTGCAAGGAAACGTTATATATTTCTTCGAATATTTTTGCTAGGCAAAGTTTATTTACATATTTTCTTAAAGAATATTTGCCTGAGGCTTAAGACCTTAACGAAGAAACAGAACAATATAAAATCAATGTCATGTTAATGTATCCAAAATTAAATAGAAACATATTCGACATATTCATTATTAATTAATTACATAATTGTGGGCAACGCACGAATAGCAAGTATTGTAATTACCAATCAATCTATCAATCATTGATTGATTGCCTTAATTGAGGATTTCAACGCCAGAGCGGTTGTTAATTTAAAACCAAATGTCAATAACCATTGCAACGCCTGCCAAATTTAGATAATTATAGTAAATTAAGTATGCACACCCACTAGCCCACTAATTTCACTAATGAAAATACGCGGTCCTTTAAATACCTGAGCGAATGTGCTCTTAACAAACACTTACCGCAGTCTTTGTTAGCAGTACGAAAAATCAATCATGATACCGCAATTTCTAAGAGATGATTATCCGTTGGAAAAGCATTTGTTTTTAATACCAAAATTTGCTTTACGCTTAATTGGTTTCTATCCTGAATCGAAACTTAATACGCCATTGCTTTGCTGGGCATTTTTTAATTTCCTTATATTGGGTTATGGTTCTTACGCGGAATTTACTTATGGCATTCATTATTTAACGATTGATATGCAAACAGCGCTAGACGCCTTATGTCCAGTACTTTCAAGCATAATGTCTTTTATTAAAATCTTTTTCATCTGGTGGCACCGCAGCGAATATAAGCATCTCATTGAAGAAGTGCGACGTCTGACCGAAGCTCAAAGTTCAATGAAAAATATGCATATAAAGCGTAAATTTTTTACTATTGCTACACGATTAGCTGCTTTAGTATTATTTTTCGGGTTCAACACCAGCACCGCTTACACGGTACGTCTTGTAATCAGCAATGCGATTCTGTACTTGAATCAACAAGATATTATTTATGAGACGCCCTTCAGAATGATGTAAGTTTTTAAAGCTATTTATACATATACATATACATATATCCCAGTTGAAAATTAATAAAAAAAAAAATAAAAAAAAATTTAATTTATTTAGGTTTCCTCAACCATTGCTAGCCATGCCTATATATCCTTTCACATGTATTTTATCGCATTGGCATGGCTATATAACAGTTGCGGGGTTTGTCGGTGCTGATGGTTTCTTCTTAGGATTTTGTTTTTACTTTGCCACACTTTTTAAAATGCTGCAAGAGGATTTGAGTGACGCGTTGGCCGTAAATAATTGTAAGTCAGTCAGTTTTGATTTAATTTTGTAAAGGATGCAACAATGTATTTAGCATTACGAGCCAAAAACTCTCGAGCAATACGTTGCGAAGCAGATATTGTATCCAAATTGACCGACATTATCAGACGTCACAACGAAATCGCTCTGCTAATGAAAAAGTTTTCTTCAATTATGGTTGGGATTGTTTTAAGTCACTTTATCACTTCAAGCTTGATTATCGGCACCAGTGTCATTGAGCTATTGCTGGTAAGTGTTTGAAAAAAAATTCCTCTCGTTTTCATAATTTTCATATAAAATTTGTAAATAGTTTTCTGGCTACGCGATCCTCGTATATATAGTCCACACATGTGCTGTTCTTGCAGAAATATCCTTATATTGCCTGGGCGGTACTGCAGTTATGGAATGCGTAATATCTTCAAACGCAGGGTGTTCGCCAAGAATGTTTATTACTTCTTCATAAGCGAGCATTAAAATCTCATACACCAGTGCAATATTTCAAAGACTGGTAGAAGAAATTTAAATGAATTTTTTAAATGCAACGCAAATGCAGCGATTTATGACCAAGTGCTAGCTAGCAAAGCTGTTGACCCATTCTTGAAACCGAAGGTGCCTTTTGGAAACATCTTCATTAATAATAGTGCTTTGGTTTCATTTTCTAATCTGTCTGCTCTACGTCTTTTCCCCTGAAACTCTTCAATACTTAAAAAGGTTGATTACAACACCGTTCCCATCGGAAATAGCACAGAACCCAGTAATTGCTTTTGGTAAGTTGTACGCACAGTCACATTTCGCATAATAAGTATGTCATTCCAAAACACCGAGACCGCAAGCCTAACCCATACGAACATTCAAAATTCTTCTTCATCAAAAAGACTGGCGAAGTAATTAGCTCTTCTTGGCGAAACTCTGCACTCGTTTCCTATAATAGCTGAGGTAGTCTTTTTTTTTTAATTTCGTTTTCCATAAAGAGTGAAGAATTGGCCTTAAAAGCCTATTGCAGTCAGTGGTATGACTACAGCGTACGCATACAAAAAATGACTCTCTTAATTATGATCCGTGCGCAACGAACGATTACCGTGAAAGTACCATTCCTTACACCGGCTCTACCTATGCTTACAGCGGTATGTATAGTTGTAGTATATCCAGCGGTTAAAAACAAATGACAGGCAAGCGTGTGGAAAGCACGGCACCATATAGTTTTTAAACCGCTGCCTTAGTTTATTCCAACCTTTACTCACCTACTATTATTTTTTCAGATTTTACGTTTCGCTGGTTCTGTTATAACGCTGTTCAAGACGGCTATATAAATTGATCATCAATAATCGTTCCACACTCTAGATTTGCAATATTGAATGGATTTAATACAAAGCACTTTACATAAAGTTGACAGAACTCTGCAAATATTTAGCAAAACTTCTATGCTATCGCAAAAAAAAATAGTCACAATTTGCGTGACGAAGCAAAATAATTTTAATGTTTAAGTTACACGTAACTAAATGCACTTAAGGATGAGGAGAAAAAAATAGTTTTAGTGATTAAAGTCGAAATAGAAAATTAACCAAAAGCTGCAAATTTCTTAGACAATAAGTGCTTCTAAGTGAAAAGGTTGCACGGAAGGACAGAGGCATGGACGCCAATAATCTATAGAGTCCATAGTGCGTAAGATACTTTTGGAAGACTTTGGCGCCTTAGGGGCTAAAGTTAGAAAGCAGGCTCAAATCACATAGATCACAATGGTGAACTAAAGATGCATCCACAGCTGCCAGTGTCCTCCCAAACCTGATATTTGCATTCTTTTTTTTAACTTATCGAAGGCTTAGTCATATTCAAAATATTGATTAAAATCTTGTCTACTGATCTATGTGTGATGTTTATAGCCTCGGCTAAACCATCTCCAGTTAATGGATGGTCTTTAATTATCACCTCCTTGCGATTAGTATTTATTAATGATATCTTCAGTGCGGCAATTTTTCGACAGTAAGCATACTCCCCATTTAACAAGCTTGTACGATTACAGTGAAATTAATCTAGCTAAGTATTGCAGGAGCAGTCAACAGCGTTCACAAATTTCTTTTCCACATAAGCCTACCCTTTGTCAACTTTTTTTACGTTTAAGTAGAAACAAAAACATGGTTAATTTCAACGGTTGTCTTTTATCATTTAATTTGTCAGCATGAAACTTTCCATGTGCTCTTGCTGCCAGTTTTACTAATTTAACAAATAATTATTCGTAGGATTTCCATCCGTAGGTTAGGCTACAAATATATTGACTTATCGCAGTATATAACGAAGCTTTTAAATATTGTACCGACGTCAAGAGTATTAAAAAAAAATGACCTCTTAAGGTCGTTTTAAGAAAAGCGAAGAAAGAGAGAGAAAAACTGTCAAGAAGATGACAGTTGTCCCCCCCCCACCCCCCACCCCGCCCACCCTCCTCCTCCTAAAGACGCGCACATTACATACACATTAAATACGTTTGATTGAGAAACTCATCAGTCATTCTAGATTAACGTTTAGACACACTTTTGCATATTTCCAAAATCCTAGAACTAAAATGTAATTTTTATATAGCTTTGCTGGGATTTATTTAAATTTTGTTTGTAAACAAAATACAAACATGATAATCATTCTAAAGAGCTCATGCCGCTAAAGCAAGTTTAGCTTTTGTGCAATAAAAAGAGAAAATAAAAAAAAAATAAAAAAAGACAAGAAAACGAAATGTCATACGGTATTTGTTTTATTTCCGAGCAAAGAATAAATTGAGCGTAATAACGCGTACGAAAGGAAACACATTAAAATTCCGTGCAGACGCTTTTCAAATTCACTTGGATTGGATGACTGAGAAATCAACGAATCTGAAATGTATGTGATAATCAAAAGTGAAAAAAAGGTTTTCATACAGAATTTGATACGAATTTGCAATCACTCTCATCACTCCTCTCAACAAAAACGTCGACCTTAGATGA